CACATATTTATATAATAATACAATTGAGTCTTCTGTACAATATTTATTTTAACATTCTGTTTTATATTATTCTACTGTATGTGTTAAATATATTTTATTCATGCATCTTATTTGCAATAATTTGTCACTTGCACTATTGTATTTCTTTATTCTTTTATTTATAGCTACTGTGCATAAAGCCTTTGGATCTTTGCAAAAAGGTTCAGGTTGTTCTGAAATAGTAGCGTTAGATTGCACTCAATGTTGTTGTGCTGATTGTAACTGTGATGTTATATGAGTCATTCCTCTTTAGTAAACAAGTTAATGGCAATAACCACCTCCAACCTAGAGTATGCCACAAAGCAGTAATTCTTAAATGAAGAAAACATATATTTTTCTCCCCGCCAGTGGTCCAATGCAGCTTGTGCCAATTTGAACTCTGCTTTGAAATATAAAACTACTGATAAAGTTTTGTGGTCAATTTAATTTCTGTCTCTGACTATTAATCTCCAGCTGAGCTGACGGAGATAGGGGAAGGCAAGAAAACAGCAAAGTTGTTGCTAAGGAACAGTAAGAAATAACCCTAACTTATCTTGAAGCATCTGATATCTCCCATGGTGTGCATAGCTCCGTATGTGCGTGTTTGTGTGGTGGGGGTGGTGGTCGGGAGTCAGGTTTAGCAGAGGTTGTTCCTAGGCAACTGTTGTTGATTTATTGTTGTTTTTTGAATATTAAACTAGATTGTTTTTCTGTGTTTTCCATGTGTTCCTATTCATTATAGCCCGCCTCTTCACAAATACACTTTCTCATCATTTAAACCGGGTTAACTGACTCTCTGGTGTATGACCCTTCATAACTCTTTGATGAGAAAAAAATGAAAATAAACAATAAAGCTTTCTGCCATCCGGAACAGGTCCATACGTTCATTATAGCATGATGAATATGCAGCAATTTCCAGTGAAACAAATAGAGAAGTAACCTGTCCTGTAAGCAGACTTTCATATTATCAATAATACACTTTACCAGCTGGAGGGAAAAAATAACACGTACACTCTCAACCCCTCGTGTGTCCTCTCCTCATTTTTGTCCCAAACTTATGTGTGCAATTATTATAAAAATGTTTAAAGGTCCTAAGTATGCTTTGCCTTACACATGCCTGCATGCATGACGTGATGTTTGCACACATTACCTGATAGATTACATATCTATTATCTATTACATAGATTACATTAGCTATGTCAGATTGACAATAAAGAACCTTGAACCTTGAAACAGCTGTTGGCTTGCTGGGCAGCACTGCCACAGGTGGGGTGAGTTCATTAAATTACAACAAGTCAGCTGTGTTAAAGTAAACAAACAAACAAGTAAATAAACTTTTTTCCTTGGGATTTCAAGTCATATCAGACCTTTTGTACAGTTTTTCACAAAAGGGTGTCATGCATCAGTTTGAAATGTCATCTTGTGACCTTATTAGTCTCATCATTTGAATAAAAGCAAAACATGACTCGTGTGCGTGTGTGCATTAATGTGTGTGTGTGTGTGTGTGTGTGCGTGTGTGTGTGTGTGTGTGTGTGTGTGTGTGTGTGTGTGTGTGTGTGTGTGTGTGTGTGTGTGTGTGTGTGTGCAACAGGTGCACATACATTTTAATATTATTTCAGGGTATTTGTACAGCCTAACATGATGCATTAACACAAAATGTTCTCAGTTTCACAATGTATTATGAATAAGAAACACTTAAAAAACACTACTTTACTACAGCAACAAAGTACTGTGTCTGCCTTTTACCACACACACACACACACACACACACACACACACACACACACACACACACACACACACACACACACACACACACACACACACACACACACACACACACACACACACACACACACAGACTGCAGAATGAAAGAGTCTAATCTTCTAGCTTTCGTTTTTCTATCTGATGATGGAACAGATCTGTAAGTTTCCTGGACAGTGTCCATTTTCCATCCTGCATGGTTAAGGTCTTTCAGTAGAGCAGAGCTGTTTCACTGGAGCAATAAAGATGTTCTTTCACTAACTGGCATACGGAGGCGTGCCAAAACCTCTTATTTTCTTGCATCTATAGAGCTGACTGCAACACAAACACTTTGTTTGTAGGCGGCACAGGTAGCAGGTGTATTTGATAGGATAATTTAAAATTATGTTGTAATCATTAAGCTCAGTAATTGAACATATTTAGATACCTTAGGTTCTAAACAGCAGCTTTAACTAAATCAAACATGTTTTTATAATTTAATCTTATCAACTTTCCTATTAAGCCTTACATCATTTGTGTGACAAACAGATAAACAACATGAAACATGGAGTAAAAAAACATGAGTGAAAGTGAATGCTTACATTTCTTATCTTCACACACACATTCACTCTTTTGCAGTAGAACCCCTTCCCTATGATTTTTAATTGGCTATATGTGAGGTGTTTAATTAGGGGCTTTGAACTGGATGTTTCAGGTGGAAACCTGTGGCAGTTTCTGTGTTTTGTCAAACCCTAATTAAAAGCCTCTTCCTTGGAAGACATAGCCTCCACATCACCTGAGCACACTAACTGTGCGTGCCAGCATGCATAATGTGTGTGCTAGAGGACTGACGACCAACTGTTACTAACAAGCAGCTTCCATTTAATTATCAAAGGTCTGGCCTAGCTGACCCAGACAGTGCAGTGCAGAGCGGCTTATCAACCTCAGCGATGATGTATAATAACAAGTAAAACTGAACAAACCCAACACATGTATATCAATAGTTTTATGCTCAAATACTTTGATAATTAATCTTGAGGCATTTCATACAAAAGTATTATATGATGTTATTTAGTGTCATTTTATAGCTTTTCAAATTTACTCTGAGTATTGATTGATCAAATGATTCACAGTTATAGCTTTTTAGTTCCTATTGTCCAATGTTGCTTTATATCAAACACTTAAACAGTCTGGGTGAATTGTGTACACCAGTGACAACAACTACAATAAGTAAAATAAGATATTAAATTGTATCCACACAGGAGTAATAGGTGTGAGGCACCAATTACTTATTTATTTATCCTTTCTAAATATTAGAAATTGCCTTTCTAAATGTACCAACTGATCTCCTGTTGCTTTACACGTTTGAGTGATCCCTTAGTGTGTTATGTCCCACTCCAATATTTCTTTTCTGCAGGGATTACATCCAATGAGAACAAGGACATGAACATGAATTTGTCCTTGGCCTAGTTTAAGTGCAATCAAAAGAAGAAAAAAATATGCTTTGGTTTTGATGGTTTTTAATAAATGTGTGCAAAAGGAAAAAGCACAAATCCTTACACTGGTTTCACTTTGTAGGGCCTTCATAAAACACATATCCAATGCAACATGTGCATAGTCTATCTTCTCATAAAAATCAACTCCATACATTATAGATCTTTCTAAAATCCTTATCTCGCCCTTTCTCGACTTTGTTTTGTTCAAGGATATAATTCTGTCCTACAGTTAGATGGTGCCCTCTGTTGGAAGAAGAACTAAACAACAGCTTTTCTGCATTTTAAGACCAAACCCAGTCAGATTTCAACTACAGTAAAACTACTATATTATTATTATAAATACTTACTTTTGACACATCAGTAGCATATAATATACTCAACTTTTACACCAATAAAAAATATTGCTTCTAAATGTGCTTATGTGCAGTATACATAATGTACTGAGCCATAAGGGTGAACTTGCAGCAACAAATGATAGAGTATTTCATTTCCTAGTGGGTAGGGAGAATAAACACATGTGCGGGGTAACTGTACGTCTATTCCTCTCAGCCTCTCCTCCTCCACCAGGCTCATTAAAGCCAGTCACAATCTCCCTTAATACAGGCTCCACATCTCCAGATTAGGGTTTGATCAACATTTGTTTGGCATTAGCAACATTTTATTGTCACATTAACTTTGCTTATCTCCTTTCACACAAACTTTTAGCTGGTTTGTGACAGATCAGTGAATGCATTTTTCTAATTCCAGAGCAGCCTGCTTTTTGTTGCAGTCCAATGTTTCAAAGAAACTGACGCTTTCCCATTGCAAAAACATGTTGAGGCATGAATGTGTTATAATTCCAAAGTGATCCTATGAGATTGTCCCTCCTCAGTGAGCGATTAACACCAACATCACACAAGCCTTTTGCTTAAAGCTCCAAAAACAAAGATATACGGTAATTAGCTGAGGACTTTAGTGGAGAATGTTGTAATAGCTAAAAAGCAAGATACTTCCCTCAGGAGCTGGTGGAGAGAAAATAAGACAACTAAAAGTAAATTCATTTTGGACCTGCATTTGCCCAAACGTGTTATGTAACTATTAGGGTGGTGGGAACATGAATGATGACACAATTTGGCAAAAGAGCGACAAATAGCAGTGGTCTCTGCCGTTTCCACATACTGTTTTTTCTGTTTTTCACTACCTACTGTACTCAGTACCAAACATCAGACAGACAAAGTTAGTAACTAGATGATGAACGTGAAGGATTTCACAGCCAAAGAGCCCACCATTTCCCCCTAGGAGTTGAAATAGACCAACAGCAGAGCTAAAAGAGAGTTACATGTAACATCCTTATGTTCCTCAGAAAAAACACAACTCCAAAGGTTTCTTCGTCTGCTGGATGTGTGAATAAAACATATTACATTCTACTTAAAAGCTGATACAGTACATCCACGTTGTTTTCAACTTCTGCTGTCCACTAGAAACTAAAACAAATGTGTATGAAAGAATAAAAACAGCAAAAACTACTATTTTTGGGAACAATCAATTCAACGTTTTTTTCTTACTTTAATACTTTCAAAGCATAAATTCATAGGGAATTTATATTAATACATATATATAATATATTTATAACAGTGTCTGTACATTCATAACACACAGTTAATATTAAAGGTAGGGTATGGAAGTTTGAGAAACCGGCTCGAGATCGCTAGAATTTGAAAATACACGACCGGAGAAAATCTGCCACTTCCGTGCGCAGTGCGTCACTCGGTGGGCGGTGCTAACAGATCACGTGACAAAGGTCGCAGCGGAAATGTGGCTGTACACATCTACACTGTTGTTAGGTCTGTTAGGAAGCAGAGGAGTAGTGAGAAGCATGGTAAGTGTATAGATCACAATAAAATATGTCTATCTCTGTTCCTGCTATGTTTAAAAAAAACATGTATGTGTCCGCTTCTGCTTGTACGCTGAACGTAGGTCAGATTTATCGTTTCTATTTTTAAATGCGGTGTAACGGAAAAATGGGTCCGATGTTGACGCAGCCACTAAAGCTAGGGACGTGAGGAAGCCTCAAGCTAATGTAAGGAAGGGATTTGTCAGTAGGGTTTGTAACTAACGGTTTACTGCTACAGACACGCGGAGCAGCTGAATCGCCTCACATTTCTCGGTTTTTCTGTTATGAAAGCGTCACTGTTATCAGCTAGCTGGTTGTACTGCGTTCAATCCATACGGTGTAATAAAGCGTGAAAGGATAACGATGCTGTTCAAATTGCCAATAATCCGTGGCATTGTGGCAACAGTCTTGGTTGATCTTAATTTATCTGATCAGGAGAAGCATTAGGTGCTATGCTTTCATTCCCTCGATTTTAACAATGCTGTAAAAGCATAATGGCTAATTAAATAACATTCAGTGGTGTTAAGTGTATACTCAAGTACTGCTCCTAAGTACAATTTTGAGGGACTTGGACTTTACTTGAGTATTTCTATATAATGCTACTTTGTACTTGTACTCCACTACAATTCAGACATAAATCGTGTGCTTTTACTCCAATAGCCTACATGTATTGAATACCTTAAGTTACTTTGCAGATTTGCAGGTTAATTAAATATAAACAACACTTAAATAAGACTTTAGCTACACCTGGAGTAAATTCACAAGCTACCCTGCAGTATACAAAGTAATTTCAACTAGCTGCACCTATACCAGCTTTGATAACACTTTAATACATTAATAATTATAATCAAAACATATGATACCCTACGTATTTTTCTCAAACGGTCCGATCTGCATGAGTACTTAAGACTTTTGTACTTTTACTTGAGTAACATTTTGATTGCAGGACTTCTAATTGTAACAAAGTATTCCATACACTCTAGTTCTTTTACTTGTACAAGATCTGAGTACTTTTTTCACCTCTGATAACATTACTAGATCCTTTAATATTTCTAATATGCTATGTTGGGTATGTTGCTAGACATGGGTGAAGGTCTCTTAATGTGGATTAATCTGTACTGTGTACAAGTTCAAGGATCGGAACATCAAATGTGTCACAATGTGCTAAAGTGCAACGTCCTTGCCTTTTTCTTGTCTTGACTTGCATTCACTTGACTTATCTTTCCTCAGAATTTGTGAGTCATCTTGTTGATTTCCTAGGCCTGAACTTATATTAGTTTTGCCCTTTGTTTTACTACTTCAATGGACTTTAGCCCTGAACAACCCTACTATAAGATGTCTTGCTTAATCATACACTCTAACCTTATATAATCTCTATTTTTCCCCTCCATGCAGTGCGCTCAGGTGGGAGATTGGCAGTCTGCCAAGTCCATCTACGAATTCTCTGCCAATGATATTGATGGCAATGAGGAGTCTCTTGAAAAATACAGGTGAAATAAACACATCATTTCATGTGTTCTTGTGGTTTAATAAAGGAAAGGAATTGATGACTTTAATAGAGTTTAAATTCACAGCAGTATGGTGTGGAACATTTCTTGTCATGAACAAAATAAATAAATAATATCCTAAATTGGGATCAATAAATGATCTATCTAACTATAGCAGTAGTTTGCAGAACATTTTTCTAATTTCAAACTTTATGTTATTTTTTGTTTTTCTGCTGTCAGAGGACACGTTTGCATCATTGTAAATGTTGCCTCTAAATGAGGAAAGACCAAGGTAAACTACACTCAGCTAGCTGAAATGCACGTCCGCTACGCTGAGAAAGGTTTACGCATCATGGGCTTCCCCTGCAACCAGTTTGGAGGACAGGTAATTAAAAAAACACTTGAAAAAGGGCTTCATATTTATAAACTTTACTAACACATTTTCTTTTTGTTCAATCCAGGAGCCAGGGACTGACGCAGATATTAACGAGTTTGCCAAAGGTTACAATGCCGAGTTTGTCCTCTTCAGTAAGATTGAGGTGAATGGAGACAAGGCTCACCCTCTTTGGAAGTGGATGAAGGCACAGCCAAAAGGCAAGGGAACCCTGGGAAAGTGAGTTATTGTCTTATTGTTTCTGTTTGCTTTAGAGACATACATACATTAATATGACCCATAAGTGAAATGTCTTAGAAGTGTAGCCACATTTTATCTCTAAAAGTTGGAGATACAAGTGATATTTAGATACATTTTATATCATTTGTAATTGTTTCATTGTAAGAATAAAGTTATTCTCTTTTCACATGTACCCTTATTTCTTCATTGCACTACTCTGTTCTTCTTTGTTTCTTATTCGCTCTCGGTGGGGTTGTAAAGAGTTGTTCACAGCATCGAAGAGATTGTTCTATCATGGTCATCTCATTAAAAGACTAACTGTGCGCTAGTATTAAAAAGGGAATTTAACTACTCACTTGCTACAATATTTATATCATTTGGGGGGAGGGAGGCGTGTGGTGCAGTGGGATGTGCGTTGGTGTACGGATCAGGGGGTCACAGGTTCAAACCCCACTGCAGTCAGCATGTCGTTGTGTCCCTGGGCAAGACACTTCACCCCAAATTGCTCCTGTGGGGATTGCCCACAGTATTGAGTATGTAAGTCGCTTTGGATAAAAGCGTCTAACATGTAATGTAATGTAATGTAATGTAATTTGTGTTATAAATAAAGTACCCTTATAATCTATATTCCATCCATGTAAGCTTAAAAAGTGGTGATTTGCCACAAAATCTACACATGCACCTGCTTGCTGACTGAGCATAAAGCAGTGCATTTCACCATATACTGGGAAAATACATATAACTGTCATACTGAGCATATAAATGGTCTCGGGACAGCAGCAAAGTAGAACATGCTGCAGGAGTGGCTTGAGAAGTTATCTGAATTAAATTAAGAACTATCCTCTGACTTTAACTGAGGAATTGTTCCATTGGGGCTATAACGGTGTTGTAATACTTTTTCTCTCTCTTCACAGTAACATCAAATGGAATTTCACAAAGGTAATTTGTTAATGTAGTTGGCACTATTTCTTTTTAAAATGCATCTTCAGTGATCCTCAACTACATTAAAAATACACGTGCTTATCCTTTGATATCTTATCCCTTAACAGTTTCTGATAAACAAAGAAGGACAAGTGGTGAAGAGATACGGGCCGACAGATGATCCCAGCGTAAGTGGCAGTCACTGCTTTTCAAAACATTTTTATTTTAATGTAGTTTAACATATTTCCAAAGGAACCATATAAACATTTGAATTTAAGGTTATTCAAATTTCTTTCTTTTTTTAAGAACTTGAATACAGTTTTTTTTTTTATAGCTGCATGAGAAATATCCAAATAAAACACGGTTTAATCTAATGCAAAGTGTAACAGTGGGACCAATTTCTTGCATTTGCCATTCATTTGATTGATAGTTATTTGTATTTTAGATCTTACATATATGCTTATTTTCATGGGGCCATTCCCCATTTGTCCTCTTGGTTATAGTAAAGGTCTACTTATTTCTCTTTGCAGGTGGTGGAGAAGGACCTGCCAACGTACATGTAATACTACTGTCTCCTCTTTGTTTGTTTGACTCCTGACCTCTCCCATGGTCTTTGGGGTATTGGTGTGTGTGTGTGTGTCTGGACCAGTGACGGCCTGTCTGTAAACCCAACATTGGGGAGGGCAGGCCTGATGATCAAAAACGTGCAACTAACCCCCAGAACACACCCCCACCAGACCCAGAGGACCATATGAAAGGACATTCACTAGCTTTGCAAAATAGAGACCCTTCACATCTTGCTCCATATTCAGCCATTCCCTTTTCCAATACAAACACCCACTAGTCCTTTGTCAATGTTAAGTTACAAGTATTGCCTGTGTGTCAATGTCAGTTTTATGTCAGGACAACAGACGCCATGTGTTTACACAACTCTCTGGAAAGCTACTGATATTATTTGCACTTAACTTGCCGAAGGGCCCGTTATTGTATATGTGACTCATGACTAATTATGTGATGAAGCTGGAAAATAAATGCTGTTCAGGACATGAATGCTTACCTGATTACCTACTGGCTTTGTCAATGGTGTGTTTATTATATAACTATGAATAGCTTGTCATAGCTCATGTGACCAGCTCCAAATCAATGCAGCATCGTACTACTACAATGGATAAGTAGATTTGAATTTTTCTTCACCTTCTATTTCATGTGAAAATCTTAATTTTGTTTACATTTAATGTTCTTGGTTCTCTTCAACAGCTTTGATGTGAAGTGATCTGATAACTCCAATTTGAAGAACAAATTGCAGTAGTATATCATCAATGCAGCATTGTATAACTACATTGGACAAATAGGACACATCTCTTCCTTATTGGACTTTATTCTACCTTTTTTGGATAAATATATATATTTATATTTCTTTATAATTGGGAGAATGTGTTATTTCCAAATGATGTGCCCTTATTACTCCAAATCAATGCATTGTATAACTACACTGGATAAGTAGGACACCTTTCTTTTGATTGGATTTGAGCTTCTTCCATTTTATATAAATATCTTTATGGACAAATCAGCTGGCTTTAATAGAAAGGTCTCAATTATTTTTAAAGTAGCTTCCATGTTATGTGACCTAATTGCAGGATTGCATTACTACATTGGACATGCATGACACACCTCATTGTATGAATATTGTTATGAAAGTACTGCATTTTTTAAATAGTTTCCAAGTCATGTAAACTATTTATTTTCTCCAAATCATTACAGCTATGTACTGTGGAAAATATAGTATAGAGTTAATTTTCATAGAAATAAATGGTAGAATCCCTAAAGTCCAATAAAAGTAGGGGTGTATTGCGTCTCCAGTGTAGCAATATCACTGGGTGACACACAGTACAGGAGCTATTGAAAAAAAGGAAATATTTCTATTTAAATATTTTTGTTTGATCAATTGTGTAAATCATAACATATCAGCAATCAAAAAGGACGAATACATTGTTTTTTTTTAACATAATTTTAACTAAGGGCGAAGTGGCATGTTAGCACTACTTTCGTTTTGTGTCGTCTGAATTTATTTATTGACTGTCCCTAAATTAAAGCCTGTGGTTAAGATTAAGAGCCAGGGCTTGGATATTAACCTACTAACGTCCTCTTACTGCTGACAGTTTGTGAAACTAAAAAAGAAACCCGTAGTACATTTTTGTAAAATGTCCAACCTAATACCAACATCACCGCGGTGGAGTTTTTAATGTTTTCATCATGACTGTTTTTTTGGTCATGTTATTATCTCGAAGCGGAAATGAGATTCCAAACACTTCTGGAGACTGTCCCAATGAATAACAATTACAATGAAATACATGTCGTCTTTTTCCCATAAGCATCACAATAGTCGACGTTAGATGATACCTCCACAATGATGGTTAGATTTGGCAGCTTAGTAAAATGATGCTGTGGCGTATCAGCGTGAGAATGACGCACAGTGGCGATGATCAGCACCGCTGGTTCTGAACGCTGCGCGTCTATACACAGCGACAGATACACACGCGTAGAGTTATGTAATTATAGTGGTACATATCGAAGAAGGTGGAATGATAGGATATCTACATTACTTCGAAGCGCAAACTGCCTCATCTTGTTCTCATTGAGGAAGGATACGGCTGAGGGTCGTCGCCAGGAATCGTCCGGGAGATGGACGGGAGGACTGCGGAAACCGGGGATGACGGGAGGACGAGTGAGGAAGCGGCCGCTGGCCTCTGTCTGCAGCTTGACCTGGGGGACACCGGTATGAATGTTCATCCATTAGGAGTCTTTTATTGTCGATTAAATAATGCAGTCATCCCGGGGGTCCTATTCAAACCCAGCTACCCGTGACAGAAGGTGACATAAATTGGTCATAAATGGGTAGTAGCCCACCATAATCTATCTGGATGTAGCTAGGCATGGGCTTAACATAATAGAGAAACATATATTTTTGTTACAAAAACGGATCACTGACATTTTACATTTTATTTAGAGCAACATAAACTGTGTACATGAATAATAAAGTGCTTGCTTGGATAACAGTGTCAAGATTCAAGTCACTGCTGTTCTGATGCAAATGGCCCATAGTGTCAGTGGCTCACTGCAGCCTGGCACAAACACAAAGTGCTCATTAGAAATATGTACACCCAACTGCTAAACCTGAAGAAGACCATCTGAGATGTTACCTGAATGAGTATTGAGCTATTCACACACACATGCACAATAGTCATTAGTGCAGCATTGGCAGGAGATAGCTTTCTATGATACATGCACACAATGTCATATTGCTCTACTCAACCTCTGTCTGTCTTCATAATTCAGTCCATCCCTCACTTCCTCTTCCTAGCTAAATCTGAAGAGTGCTTTACATAATCTGATATGGAATTATAACATAAACCACACACTAATCCCTTGTGGGTATCAATTTGAAGCATCACTGTGTAATGGCTGCAAATACGACACAACATGCATTACAGTTGTATTCTATTTTTTGCAAATGTTAATGAAGGAAAGCAGATGTGATCCTCATCAGTTTAGCAGGTCCAACAAGTTGTCTTTGCATGTGCCTCATGTATAACATTGGATGTTTGTGCACACGTGGTTATTATTAAATCCACCAGATTATACTTGTGTGCAGAGAGCCTCTGGGCAGAAAAATCTACTGCTGTGTTGAGTGTCACATTAATGTTAAAGCAACTGGCCGCCACAGCTGATAAGGGAGATATCTAATCCTCTTTACAATGACATGCACACACACACAGGCCTTAGGCATACTTCCCTGACACAAATGTATCATTACAAGAATATCTAAATAAGCTTTCAGTAATTCTGTTTTAACACATGGTCGTTCTAAAAACACAGTCCTAAAGGAAGCCTGTGTCTCACATAGTAATCGAAGATGCTACAATGTGCTTGTCCTGTTTGTTGCTTGCGGCTCAGTGGCACATTACTCTGGCCTGACCCTAATCCCGCAGAGACTCTTTGTGTGCGCGCCTGTCCCTGGATACTCCTTCTCATTGTTCTGCCTGACAGGCTTTGTTTCAGCGTTAATCTGCAGGTTACAGGTGTAGTAACCAGCCGCATGAAAATAAGAGAAATAATTAAATCAGTAAAATAGTCATAGTCATTAAATGTGGGTTGCCAAAAATACCAGCATGTCCTACTGCATCTGTTCTCATTTCGCAGTTTGCAAGCCAACATGTTTATTTTGTGGCTATTTTGACCCACATTAATATGCACAGGGGATATAAGCAACTAGGTCAAAGTTCAAAATGCAATGTTATGACAAAGTATGCCCCAAATGTGCGTATACTTCATGCATTTGGGACATGCACATTTTAACATAAGTTACAAGATAGCTGCATGTACATACATAGTAATAGTAAGTAACATGAAAAGGTGATTTGGAAACCTTCCTTAGTACTAATGCACCTGTTATTGTAAGACATGTACTGACCCAGCAGCAACAAGATATTATTTTATTATGTATTATACTGTATATGATCTACGATTGTGTCCTGTCATGCCTTAGTGATGACAAACTGTGCCTCAGTGTTTGTGCAGTACTTCAACATGGCTTAAAGATTCATTATCCTTTCTCTGTCAGCTGCACTTCCTTAATCTTCACCCTCACACGACCTGAACCTAAGCACAATACTGTTAAACCAAGTACTTTGTAGTACTGTGATACTACAATTGTGAACTGTCTCTTTTCCCATTCAATCCCTTCCTTCCTGCCACTTCGTTTCTCATAACATGTCACACATACAGTCATGTCAGAGGGAAAGATTCTTCTTAATTCTAATGCGTGATAGGCTAGCGTCATGATCTGGAGACCTTGGCCAATGGCAGTGCACAGATTAGAGAGGAAGTCAATCCAATTGAGTTTTTACCTTCTTGTTGCAAATCTCACAGGTCCAGGAATAGCAAACAGTGAGTGCACTCTGCCGGGTTCTGACTACTGGATGTCAGGTTTTGGTTTGGCCAGGAATATAGCTGCATGTATTTCTGGATTAGAGAACCATTTGTAACCTGTAGGCACTGAACTTCTCTGCTGGTGAGTTGACCACAGATTTATTGTTTACAGAGACATTTTGTATAAAGGATTCAAAACCAGCTTTAAGCGGTATCTGGTACAAAATTGTATCGTGGATTTTTCCAATTAAATAAACATTAAGAGAAAATTAGCTGGGGGATGTGGGTAAAATAACCTCACAAAATGTTTTCCTGCGTCATGGAATTATATATGTTCAAATGTTCACTTTACTGGGCACTTGAAGATATTTGGATGATCATATACAGTATAGATACATTCAATGTAGTTGATTGCATATTATACATGTATTATATACCTACAATTTCTACTGTTTGTCTTGATGTTGGAGGGTATTCCTTTAAAGAAAACGGTCTAAGGTATGGGTTGAATCAATGTCAAGTAAATAAAAAGCGTGTTAGTGTTAGGGGTGGATGTATGCCTTGAGTTAATTGTTCTGATTGTTGTGTAAGTCATTAAGTTCTTATGATGGCCTAGATGTGTCTGGCTAACAATCACCAAACCAAGTGTGAGTCTGATGCCAAAGTTGCCATTCCATTACAATGCTTTCACGCAGTTACGCTAAATAATGTACCATTGAGACACAATCAACCAATTATTCCTTCTCTTTGTCTCTGTCCACAGATTCAGCCAAGAAGGCTCAGATATCAGAGGTAAGAGGCTTCTACACAATATTCACCTGTCTGTCTCACCTGTTGCTTTTTTCTACTTTTCTACTTCTTTCTTGTGTATTGTTTTGCTGCATGGTTCAATTCCACACCTCCGAATGGACAATATACAATAAATGAACTACCTAGGCTACAGTGTCACATTTCCATTTCCTTTCCTTGTGACAGATGCCATCCCCATTTGGAGTTGGCCCAGGCCATGAGAAAAAGATAGGCCACAGGAGGGTAGATGCTTCTGGAGAAACAACATACAAGAAGGTAGGCTTTCTCTCTTCATCAGTATTTGTTTTAATCTTTTGTCTGCGTGTAGGTTTGGCGTCACAATTTTTATCAACCACGTTCCACCCACATCTTACTCTGTTGTTCTTTTCTCTGTTCTCCGCCCCCAGACTACCTCCTCCGCCTTGCAAGGGTCCATCCAGCTGGGTATCGGATACACTGTAGGCAACCTCAGCTCCAAGCCTGAGAGAGATGTGCTGATGCAGGACTTTTATGTGGTGGAAAGCATCTTCTTCCCCAGGTGGCATAGAATGAGCAGAGGTGTGTTTATGTGCATGTGTGTGGCAAGTATTCAATATAACCTTTTATCTTCTTTCACTCTTCCAATTTGGTTCCATCCTGCTTCATACAGAGAAGGCAGCAACCTCACTCCTGCTCACCACTACCCAGACTTCAGGTTTAAGAACTACGCCCCTGTGGCCTTCCGCTACTTCCGAGAGCTGTTCGGGATCCGGCCAGATGACTACTTGGTGAGATATTTATTTTCTCTAATGCATCGGCAGTATGTTAATGTCTTAAAGGTGGGGTATGTAATTTATTTCAGAAACACTTTTTGTTATATTCCATGGAATGCTCTTAACATCCCGATAGCAATGAATATCTTAAATGCTTTGACAATAAATACTTAACAAAATGTCATCTGTGGAAGCCGTAGCACTGTAAAAAGCACGACCAATCATTTTAGCCGGCCCGGCTAAAATAACTGGATGGCCTACCTGCCTGTCAGCCTTCCATCTGTGCACAAACTTATCTCGTGCCCTCATTGGTCATGTGCGTGTTCGTTTGTGTTGGAGAAGGGGCTCTGTAAGGAAGTCTGAAGGAAGAGGCAGATTTTTTCCGGTTGTTTACTTTCAAATTCTAGCGCACTCGAGCTGGTTTCTCCAAAATTACATACCCCACCTTTAAGTGTTGTGCACGGGAAATCTCTCCCATAGAGCATCAGTAGTGAAGTGAATGTTAACACATCATGCATAGTTTTTCGCCTTTAGACACCTAAATAATGATCATATTAATTAAATACACCGTTGTTCATAATAATAATAATGATAGTACCCTATAGTAGGACTAGAGCCAAACTGAAACAGTGTTAGTGGCTATTATATATTTCCAGACATATTTTTTAATTCCATTTTTTAATTCCAAAGGTAGGGTAGGTAAGTTTGAGAAACCGGCTCGAGATACACTTTTTGTTATATTCCATGGAATGCTCTTAACATCCCGATAGCAATGAATATCTTAAGTGCTTTGACAAAAAATCCATTAAAAAATGTCATCTGTGGAAGCCGTAGTACTGTAAAAAGTACGACCAATCATTTTAGCCGGCCCGGCTAAAATAACTGGATGGCCTACCTGCCTGTCAGCCTTCCATCGGGGCACAGACTTATCTCGTGCCCTCATTGGTCATGTGCGCGTTCGTGTGTGTTGGAGGAGGGGCTCTATAAGGAAGTGGCAGATTTTCTCCGGTTGTGTATTTTCAAATTCTAGCGATCTCGAGCCGGTTTCTCAAACTTACCTACCCTACCTTTAACAAAAAAATTACAATATAGTTAAATGTTTTTATTTTTTGCGCATTTAAATATATAAGAAAAATATGTACATTATACTGGAGTTAAATGCATTGTTTAATTCCCAATTGTATGTACAGTAGCAAAGTCGTAATAAAAATAGCATTATAGCTGACCTAATATAGACTTATATGAAGTTCCCTCCGAAAGCATTTTATTGATGTTGAGCGGAATAAGGAAAGATCACACAGCAGGGTGCTACCACTCAGAAAATTAACCACTCACAAAAAACCAATACGTGTCTACACCCACACACAAAATAACAAAATAAAGTGGTACAGTGTTTAGCAAATGAGGATGCACACACACAGTATACACACACAAACACACATGGGCTGCACGCCTAAGCTCACGTTCTACCTGTGCCAGAGGAAGATTAACAGACTAAAGCTTCTTTTTTTAAACTCCTTGTAGTAGCTGCAGTCAGAGTCTGCGTGTGTGGAGCATAATTGCATTCTGTTGCCCAAGCTTTAAAAATGTTATAGCTTTGTCCAATTCATTTCTTACTTTGTGTTGATAATGTTTTTTACTATTATAGTCTTGATTGCTCCAAATGATTGTAAGGTGGTCAGCGTAAATGTAAAACCATTTATGCTATTGCAGCTACATATGCATTTTAAAAGGGGTTTCTCTCAATTCCCTCACGGCAGTGGCTCAGTCAGTAGGGGCTTGGACTGGGAGCTGTAGGGTCGCCGGTTCAAGTCCCCGACCAGAACTAAAATATGGAGTGTGGACTGCTACTTGGAGAGGTCCCAGTTCACCTCCTGCCCTGCCGTGGTGCCCTTGAGCAAGGCACCGGACACTCTTGCTAGACTCCTGGTACTAGGATGGGTTAAATGCAGAGAACAAATGTCACTGTGTGTGCTGTGTGCTCTGCATGTGTGACCATTAAAGAGGGTTTCATCCCTCCCAATTCTATTCTTAACATAATAACTGATTGTGTTCATGGTATTCAGGAGCAGCCAGAAGTGAGCCACTGTAGCTACACATAGTACAACAATGTTTAAATGTCATAAGCTACAAATTACACTCCCCGACATCTGTAATCTTTAGCAACCACACCCACTACGCCTATTTGCACTCAAATAATTTTGTACTTTAAAACAAAGTTCTTTCTCTTTCGCTTTTGGTTTGCTATTTTAAAAGCTCTATTGGGTCCAACATTAAAACTACTCTGCAAACATGCAGTACCCATGATGTGTTAAAGAGAGGATGAAATGACAAACTCTGGTGGTATGAATACTCTAAAAAAAAAATGTCAAGACCCTTATCAGATAGACCATCTGTTCTTTCAAACGGGCAGTAAGCTTCATAATTAATCAGGTCTGCTTTCATGGCTTTTGTATGTTGAAGCAGATTGTGGGTAAGATTGTCAGGCTTCGATGTTTTCATTTATGTTTATATTTAATATGTATTTGTTCCTCTTTGTCTGTCTGTTGTCTAGTATTCTATATGTAATGAGCCACTGATCGAGTTGACCAACCCAGGAGCGAGTGGCTCCATATTCTACGTGACCCGCGATGACGAGTTCATCATCAAAACTGTTCAGCACAAAGAGGCAGAGTTTCTACAGAAACTACTTCCTGGTTACTATATGGTAAGTCAGACCAACCCCTTCCTCCATCAGAGCCAACTGAATACCCTTATACAAATTGGAAATCAATAATTTTAACATGTGTGTTATATTTACATATTACGTTGTGTTGCGCTATTCAGTTTGTAGTATTTACTTATTTGTATCACTAAACACTTGGCCTACTGAAACTTGTATGCTAATATTTAATATAACAAATTCAACTAGCAAAAAAGATACTGGAAAATTGAAACCTTGCCAATGGTTTTGTAATTGTGTTTATATGTGTTTGGGTGTTTGTGTACACTGTGTATGTTTAGGAGCACACCTGAGACTAGTCATCTTTATCCTCTTTATCCTACCCCCATACGACAGCGTCAGAAGGTGACTTTGTAAAAGATGTAAGCTAAGAGGTTGTACCTGACAGAGACCTCGGCTTAGCACTCCTTAACGGTTTAAGCATGAAACCATTGGAGATAAAAGAAACGGAAACGACTGTCTGGCATTTGCATGGTACTGGGGCTGAAACACACGACATGCCTTATTCATTTAGTTTCCCCTGTCTCTTTTCCTCTGAATTCCCTCTCAAGAACTTGAACCAGAACCCCCGGACTTTGCTGCCAAAGTTTTTTGGCCTCTACTGCGTCCAGTGTGGGGGCAAGAACATCCGAGTTGTTGTCATGAACAATATTTTACCGCGCTCTGTACGCATGCACCTCAAGTTTGATTTGAAAGGCTCCACATACAAGAGGCGAGCATCCAAGAAGGAAAGAGAGAAGTCAAAACCCACTTTCAAAGACCTGGACTTTCTGAAGGACGTTCCTGAAGGCCTCACCATGGACCATGAAACATACAGCGCTCTGGTCAAAACTCTGCAGAGAGACTGCCTGGTGAGAAATGAGAGAGGAGGAAGGATGTGGAAGTGTTTTAAAAGTAGATTAACACCGTGCATTTCTTTAAATTTAATATAAGCAGCACAACCAAACACACTATAATGCATTTTCTAAATTCAAGATTCAAGATTCAAAGCTTTATTGTCATGTGCACATTAGCTACAGTGTAGATATGGCAATGAAAAGCTTAGGTCACAGGCTCCTCTAACAATGCAAGATGATATATATAGGACATAGAACAAATAAAATAGAAATAGTGCAAGAACAGTCTATATATAAGTAAATGGAATATGATAGATAAATAATTTGCAAGATGCAAACAGATAAATGTTTATGGATGTTTTTTTTTAAAGTTTAGGTGTTTAATAGTCTTATGGCCTGTGGAATTAAGCTGTCCCTGAGTCTGGAATTTTTGCTATGTTGCAAACCAATGTATTTAAAAAAGGTCATCAATTACCTTGGTAAATGCTAAAAACTATTGAAATATCACATATAATAATAATAATAATAATAATAATAATAATAATAATAATAACGCTTTATTTAAATAGCACTTTTCATACAACACATGCAGCTCAAAGTGCTTTACAAAATGACACATCACAAGTCAAAAATACACAACAAGAAATTCCCCTCAGATTATTTGTTAAGAACTTTACAGACCTGTACATGCAGCAAAATATAACATCTTTATCAGGTTAATAGACACAAGGAGGAATAAACAAATAAAATACATAATGGTTTCTCTCTGACAGATAAGACACAAGACAACTGAATCGATGCAACAATATAAAATATAAAATATATGATGTTTTTTTTTTCAGGTTCTGGAAAGTTTCAAGATTATGGACTACAGTTTACTGCTTGGGATCCACAACAAGACACAAGCAGAGCGAGAGCGTGAATCTCAGGGCTCGCCCACAGGGGGAGGGGACGAGAAGAGGCGGGCAGCTCAGAAGGCTCTGTACTCCACCGCCATGGAGTCCATCCAGGGGGGCTCCACATGCAGGGACACACTGGACCATGATGACACGTAAGCCACCAGTCAATAACGTTTGCCCTTATCATGATATTACATTTGGAAATTATAATAATGTTCTCCTCTCGGTCTGCAGTATGGGTGGTATTCCAGCTGTGGGTAGTAAAGGAGAGCGGCTCCTGCTGTTCATCGGAATCATTGACATCCTGCAGTCCTACAGGTAGGCAACACAACTACAAAACCTTTAGAAAAGCAATACATCCAACTGCAATCAGTTAGGGCAGAGACATGGCCGGAGTAAAACCACTAGACTCTGGGACAGTTTTATCCCACAGGCCATAAAACCATTGAATCTTGAATTTGAAGCTATGTGCCACAAGGCCAGATTTCCTGGGATATTTACTAGGTTGTTTTGCAACTTACAATTGAAAAATGCTGCTGTTCTTCAACTGCAAACAGCGGCACTTGTCATTTCAATCAAACTATTCTTAAATGACAAAAGGAAATGATTACCTCTAGGTTGGCAGGTGTATTGATGTGTCTGCAAGGAATATATAAAGATGGAGAGAGATCACAAGGAAAAGCAATCCCAGACTTGTCAAACCGTTTTTAATCAAACACTAAAATAGGACTTTCATAAAAGCTATTATCAGTACAAGTGTGAGTAATCCAGTCCCTTAAAACAGCTCCTAAAATTCACATAAACATTTCAAGTGGCACTGTAGCCTCTGATTCAGGGTTGCCAGGTAACTGCAGTAAGTCAGGGAATGAGTCTAACTAAATAATTCAATTGTCTTGTCTGACAGAGTGATCAAGAAACTGGAGCACTCTTGGAAGTCCCTCATCCATGACGGGGTGAGAAGCTTTTCACAGCAGTGCACATTTTTTATTTTTGGTTCTTTTTGTCACTTTTTTCTGTCACCTTTAATGGCGTTATGTATTAAAAGTGCAACATCATTAAAGTTACATCTGTTTTTCACAGGACACAGTGTCAGTTCACAGACCTAGCTTCTATGCTGAGAGGTTCTACGGATTCTGCAGCACCATCGTTTTCAAGAAGAGCAGCTGTGAGTTTTTAAACGTGCATGAGCCATGTAGTGTGTTATTTTGGATGACAATGATACCAATGAGAGTACATGTATCCTATCCACTGCATTCACAGCATTGCGATCGTCTCCCTCTAAGAGAGGACGAGGGGCTTTCTCCATGTCCAAGTCCAGCGGGGGAACAGGTTCAACCGGGCAGCGTCCCTCACTGACCGATGAGAGGCAGGAAAACCTGGACAACTTGGAAAACCTGCGAGGGGCGCGCAGCTTCCACATGCTGGAGGACAACGGTAGTTTCACTTATATTAATAGTCCACAATGATACGATACGATAATACATTAATGGTCAGATCAAGTCTGAAATTTGACTTGCATCACAGCAGCTCCATTTGTAACATCAACATCAATCAATCAATCAATGTTTATATATATAGCCCAATATCACAAATGTTACATTTGTCTCAGTGGACTTCACAGTTTGTACAGAATATCAGTATGACAATACGACACCCTCTGTCCTTAGACCCTCACATCGTACAAGGAAAAACTTCCGGAGAAAACCCACAGTTTTGGACACATATCAAGACACATCACTATCACTGAGAGAAAACATTCTCAAAGACCCTTTAGTGTGCATTTGATCTGGGATTTAGCTACTGTTAGGATTGACTGGTGCACAAATGAGTGCTTCAGACTGGACATGCTGCACACAGGTTTATTAAAGACTTTTTATTCCAAGTAAAAATAGGATGCTTAATACCAAAGACTGAAACCTAGTATATAGACTATTTGACTATGTGGCAGTGCCTTCATGAGTGTTTATGGAGGCCTCATTTATCTGATCTCATCAAAGCTAGTGAGGAAATGCCTAATTTAACATGCTAATGCTGCTGAATAAAGAAAATAAAGAAAGAAAATAAAGTGTGAACTTGTGAGTGTCAGTTATTTAGTATTACTAAGTCTTTCTGAACTTCGCACACCATTAGTTTCAATTGTTTGCATCTGAGTGCTCCATTTACTCTTTAAATGAACACAAGTGAGCCTTTATTGATCCATGTGGAGAAATTAAGTGAAGGAGCAGTATAGTTGCAATATTCAAAGAAAGTGAAACTTTTAACAAATCAATAGTACATTTGATTGAAGAACACATGTCCAACTGAATATAAAAGTCCTGATATCAAATACAGCGTTAGTGCAGTACACTGTACAACAGTACAATAGGATTGTACTGAAATGAAGATGTAAAGAACTATACTGTACACGCACACGCATATATTTAATGTAATGTTGTCTAATCTTGTTAGAGCAATTACACTCCATATTGTTTTTGTAGTATATTTTCCTCTCTCGCATATATTAAATGATGTCTATTTTTATTCCTTTGTTATTATGCACATCAGGGAGAGAGCCCCCCTGCACCCCCCCTTCCTTTGAAGATGCTACCACAGCCTCCATCGCCACCACGCTCTCCTCTAACAACTCCTTACCCACAACCCCCTTCGACACACCAGAGCACCCACGCTCCAGGAGACAACTGCATTCCCCAAGTGTGGCAAGGTGAGAACCATTTCATGAATATGCAAATGTGTCTTGAGTAAAAATCGTATTTGAATATGGTTTACTGTGTGTCTACCGTACATCCTAGGTACGGTCGAATTGTTTTCTTCTGAGTAAAATGATCCGTAATTATCTGAGTGGCAGCCATGATAAAAGCTGGTAGTATTCTCTAAATGCTAAGGAAAGGTGTTTTAATTCTTCCTTTCTTGTCTCCTTGGAGTAACGCACCATTTGGCTGCATTTAAATAGCCTGTCTGCGTTTAATTGTACATTACAGGTCAATTAAAAACCTTCTTCCTTTAAGAAGTTGTCATTCTTTTTGGACAGGAATCCATACTTGAATTGCACTTCAGCTTTGAGTTTGTCAGCATACTCTTTTTTTTTGTGCAAAAATGTAAATGCATCCTCCGTTGAATAATTACATAGCCTATTGAAAGTAAGATCCTATTTTCTACAATAAAACTTGAACAACTGAATTAAATGATTCTTTCTTCTAAGCCATCAACATGTATCTTCGAACCGATTCCAACTAAGCTGTTAAAATACGTTTTTATTATATAATATATTATATAATTAATATGTCTTTATTATCAGGCTATGTACCACACTCCTTTAAAGTAGCTGTGATAAAACCTCTTCTTAAAAAGCACAACTTCGATCCAGAGGTTTTAGCAAACTATTTATAATCTTCCATTCCTCTCAGAAAGCCTTGAGAAAGCAAAACAGTTGTGTGATTACCTGAAAAACAATGATTTATTTGAAGATTGGACCATAACCCATGTATCTACCTGTGTACTTCCAGGGTGCAGAGAGAAGTAGTCGAGGTTCATGAAGAAAAGCAGGACACCATCACAGTGGAGGTGGAGCTCAGGTACACAATATATACAGTGGAGGAGATAAGTATTTGATCCCTTGCTGATTTTGTAAGGGGATCAGATACTTATTTCCCACAGTTAAATGCAAATCAATTTGTATCTTTTATATAATGTCAATTTCTGGATTTACCTTTTGATATTCTTACTCGCACTGTTAAAATAAACCTACCATTAAAATGATAGACTGTTAATTTCTTTGTAAGGGGGCCAACTAATGAAATCTGCAAGGGATCAAATACTTATTTCCTCCACTGTACAGCAACGTGATATTACTACAATGTCCATAGCTCCCTGCTGAGGAGTCTTTTAACACAGTTTCTTGTCTTCATACAGTCAAATCCCAAAGAGCACAGAGCTGACACTGATGACGGAAAAGTCCTCGCCCAGTGTGTCACCTGATCCTCAGCTCCACGCCATTACTCCCTCCACCACTCCCTCTATTACACCATCCTCCACCCTTCCTCCTCCCTGTGTGTCACCCTCCTCCTCCGCTGCTCAGTCAGAGGAGCAGTCATCCTCCACCCTCTCTTCCTCCATCTGTCCGTCCACCAAACCGCTCACCTCTCCCTCCGCCGCCGCTCAGCCTTCCTCCCTCTCTTCTCCAACTTCTCATCCGACGATGCAATCCACTCTCCTCACCTCGGCACCAAACACCTCCGCCCCCCCCACCTGGCTCAGCCTTTACTCCCATCTGCCCCGCATCCTCCCACTCCCCCACAGAGAGCCCCCCTCACCCGCTCACCTCGACCCCCCCTCACCCGCTCCCCTCGACCCCCCCTCACCCGCTCCCCTCCCACCCTCCGAGCCCCCAGGTGCCTCAGCAGGCGCCACTGCGTACACCGTCCAATCAGCTGTCTGTGTCCAGCAGCCACAACTCATTGGACGGGGAGTTGCAAGTGTCCGACATCTACTTTGTAAGTCCCCCTTTTCATGTGCGTTTTTTTTATTTTAGAACAAAAACAAAACAAATGTGCTGGAACTGCCATTAGTCTTGAAAACAGACAAAAAAAGACATACAGCTATTTTGAAGAGGCTCACTGTGCATGATGGAATACATAATTAACTGGCTATAGCATTTCATCAGTACACATTTTGTTTTCCCATCACACTGGAGAAAACCCTTTCCGTTTTGTTTTGTCTGCCCTCTTCCGGAGAGTTAAGATCATTTTCCTTCTCCTGTTTTTCTACGATGTGCTGGGTCTCTCGCAGTGGCTCAGTCAGGACAGCGTGATAGAATTATGATGGTGAGGGGGGGGCTGTGTGTGTTGCCCTGTGCACGTACTATGGAGTTGTTTACGCTGTCAAAATAATCTTATTTCTCTACGCACGAGGCTGTCATAGTTCATGCTTTTGAATGTATCAGCAAAACACCGGGGTTGTCTTTACCGTACAGCATGATGTATTGATATCTGTCCATCTGCATTCAGAGTCATGAACAGCTCTCCATAATGCTCCATCTTTCCTTTCTGACATTATAGTATTCACTATTTTCAACTTTCATTACTTGATCATAAGTCCTTCTTTCATCTCTCATCTTTCTCTCCTGTTGTGTGATATCATTCATTCACTTCCCTTTATTTTCCTGTGCACACTTTTGTGTTTTCATCTGCGTTTGTGTCCATCCATCCCCCCATCAGTATGCAGATGGCAGATATTGGGTGTACTCTCCAGTTCTTGGCCGTCGTAAGCTAAACTCTAGCTCAAGTTACAATGTAAGTCACCACCAAAGTAGTTAGAGTAATTTGTTCCATTGCATTGCTGCTTCCATTGGGACACAAGCACAGCTGCCTATGGATCTTCAGAAGGACTTTAAAGTAAAGCTACAGTGCATTTCACATTACTTATTTAGTGTTGAATCTGCAAAAAAGACGTTGCATTTTAATAACTTCGGCTTCTGAAGGGCCATCATGTGCATTTAAATGGAGCATGCATCTTTATGTAATGTTAAAGGATATGTTTGAAGATCTTGCAAGACCTGCAGTAAATTAACTGTAGTTAGCTTGAATTGACATTATAATTTAAGTGATTCCTCACACTCCTTCCCTGTAGCACTGAGATAGTAGGAGGTCCTGACATGATGATAAGTCTTTTCACTGCTTTGCTAGAATGTTTGGCAAATAAGATGCTGATTGAAAAAATATGATTTGGTGTTTTTAAAAGTGACTTTGCTCGAATATTAGCCAGAAGATCCAGATCAGATCATCCCTGATAATTGAGACCCTTTAGATTTTCCTCAGCAAAGTTCTAAAGAGAAGCAGACTGACCCAGAGCAAAAGTGTGCATCTTGGTTACCCAAACATGCAAAATGGCACCGAATGTCTTTATAAATATATCTTTCTCCAGCTTCCTTCTAATTTTCTCTTCTTGTCTCCTCTCTGCTGCCCTCTGCTGGCTGTGTTGGATAGCAGCAGACTCAGGAGGACCGGGGCTGGGTGTACTCTCCTCTGCACTACGGCTCTGAGTCCAGGAGGGACTCAGAAGGGGAGAGTGAGACAGTGTGCAGCTCATTCATTATATACCATTAACCCCAGGAAAAGAGATTAGTTAATGGGGTACCACTTTACAATAAGACTACCCTTATAAAGGATTCATAAAGGGTTTATAATTAGGTTGTAAACACTTTATTAATCATTAAGAACCATTTATAAACCAGTTCTAACATAGTTTTCATACATCAACACAGGCTCACTATTTGGCAAGCAACCGGTCACAGTTGCCCTGTTTATCTCATGTCTTATAAAAGCTTATTAATGATTTACAAAGTGTTCACAACCTAATTAATAAATGAATTACAAACTATTCGTAAACCCTTTATAAGGGTAGTCTTATTGTAAAGTGGTACCGTTAATGGTTACCTATAGTGCAAAATGCACTTTTTGATATCTTTTATACATACATATGTGTCCCCGCACTCCAAGTGTCAGAAAACAAAACCCTCGCTTTTTTCCTCCGTACCCAAATCTCTAAAAACGGGGGTACAAAGGAGCGGATCCAGATTTGCGTCCGATATGACGAAATATCGGAAATGTGGACCCACGGCCCTATCAGAATCGTTGCTATCAGAAACAATGCCCGACGTGTTTTGGATGTAATATGGTCTTTGTTTACATTAGCAAGCATCGCTAACACTCAGAGCTAACCTGTACTGGAGAGAGCATGTGTAGAGAAGCAGGAAATAAAAAAAACTCACCTTGTGGTAAACCTGTGAGAGAAAAAGCATTTGAGCTCCATACTGTTTCAGAAACAATCCATGCAGTGGTTTGGAGCATGATATGGCATTTAATCACGGCAGCATTTAGCTGAATTCTGAGCAGGCACAAGCTCCCCCTCCTTTTTTTTGGTTTTCAAGCTAAGGACCCCGAATCAGCACTTCTCTAACAGGCCTGAAATAGAGGGATATGAGGGATGTCTAAAATGCATGATCTGTTTGGTATTTTGAGCAAAACACATCATAGACATGTTTTTTTACATATTTTTTATATATCTGAGACCCATAATATATGCCTAAAAATAGCATAATAGGAGACCTTTATTATAAGTATTTTTTGTTTTCCTGTTAGGGTTTTTCTTATTCCTCGTCTGTTTCTTCATCTGTGTCTCTGTTCTTTCAGTAACTCGGTGGAGACAGCAGTGATGGGTGGAGCCAAAGCCTCCATATACTGAAGCTTTGAGCTTTTAATAACAAAGCCACCAGGACGCTATGGGAATGAATGCTGTTCGCCCCTACTGCATGTGGAGCTAGCCATGCCAACAGGGAATTCAAAAGAAAAACAATATAATAATCATGCTTACACTTGCATATATTTAAACAAACATAAAACAATAAATATATTAGGCTAAAACAATATAACTCCTGGACAATCTAGCTGTCATCAAGCAGAGAAATACGGTTGCGTCACAATCAGCTGAGTGCCGCTGTGAGAGGTGGCTGTTAATCAGGTGTTGCTCTGCTTCCTGCTGTGGACGCTTATAGCGTCTGTGAGTCACGCGGCACTGTGCCAGCTCTGGCTATGCAAAATGGGCATACTTGTTATTGATTTCTCCCTTCGACTGATGCATCAGAGTTTATTCATGCATTTATTTTTCACTAGGGTCATGTCAAAGCTATACATTTTTATTTGAGCACTTTATCAATATACACGTGGCTGAAATCGTTTTGTGTTTTGTCATCAGTCATTGTTGCAAAACTTAAACACAGTAAATGTTTTGCGTGCTGTGTGCACAGGGTTCTGTTCGTCCAGCGGTGCGTGTTGGTCCACTTAAGAAACTCTGATCTGACAATGAATGGTTGTGCTCAAAATGCCTTATTGACAAACTCATTTTCATAACGTTTTTTTAATATTTCGGGCTCATGTAATTATTCAAAAACAACTTTAAAAATAAAAATATGCAAAGTTTGCATTTACACCTTTTTAAGGATTTGAAATCCATTGTTCAAGAAATACCACAAGAAAAGAAAATGTAATTATATTTTATAAATTGTAGATAAACTTTGTGTGTGCTGAAGCACATGTATTAGAGTCTGTATATGCCCTTATGTCTCTGTATGCATGTGTTTGCATGCATATTGATGTGTGATTTGGAGTTCTTTGTCCTGCCTATTTGTCAAAAAGTGTTAAAAGTTGTAACTTCCATTTGTTGTTATGGCCATGAATGTCTGAACCAGCTATATGCATGTTGGCTGTGTAAGAAAAAGGAAATAGTGTAAAAGAACTGAAATAACCTCAGATTTATATACAGTTTGGTCATAAAATATTGTTGCCACAGTCAGTACCTCCCCTCTTCCATACATTAAGATTCAAGATTGACCAAAATGAAACTTCTGACTGTGGACGAGCACTGCTGTAACATATTACTGTGTTGTTAAGTCTGAAGTGTACCTGCCTGTGTAGGCATCAGTGTGTGTAGCTGATCACTGTGTAAAAGAATAATAAAAAAGTATATTGTGTAAAAAAGATGTAATTAGTTTTTGTTGGATTTTTATATTTTTGTGTATTATACAGACTCAAAAGACAGCTGAAAATGAGAAAATATTTAGCTCTGAAATGTAATATGTGTTATTGGTCCACTAGATGGCACCACATGTCTCAGACAAAAACAGCCTGTATTGAATTCCTACAATTTTGTGCTTCTTGAAAATGCAATACTCTTTAAAAAGGGTTCTTACGCAGTAAGGAAATGTGCAGAAAGGTTACGTTTTGGTAATGTGATTACTAAAAGACAAAAAAGGACAAGACTATGAAAAAATATGTGTGTTTCATGACTGTTGAATACTTTGAATAGGCTACTGTATTAAAAATGAAAAAGTTCAGAATGTATAACAAATATGAATCGTTTAATCAAGTTGACACACTGAAATGTGTTGTACTGTTCAAGCATTACAGCTTGAACAGCACGATGAGGGATGATTAAATAACTAACCCCCCGAGCCTACAGGTGGAAGCTGGGGTGGTGGTGGGGCAGGCAAGCAGCAGCTGCAGAAGTAGCTGCAGCAATAGCAGCAGCAAGCAATGCATAGAGAGAGATCTGGCAGGTTAAATAGAGCGGCATATCAAGGAGACTCTGTTTGGTTGGTTGTAGAGTGGCAAGGGGCGTTATGTATGAATGCAGCATAGGTGCTCGAGTTGACTGCCTGAACTAGCTCGCAGGCTTCGCCCCATTTATTTACTTAATTCACATCTAGCTAATAAGTAAAGCATGGTTTGGTCTGAATAAAGAACAATACGAGTCCTGAAATGTATGGAATTTGTATGGAAATAAGTATGGAAAATGTGTACGAACCATGATCAATACGCCCAAAGACACATTTCAAAAATATCAGCTGTTTTTTGGCCACAATACTTGGTGACCTGTTCCTGATTGACCATAGTAGGGAAGCTCATATTTATAGTCTCATATCTCAACCTCCACATTACACTGACATTTATACAGACATAATGATGAGAAATCTTGATTGCTTAAGCGGCTGGCATTTTATTTATCTGCATAGGCTTTGCTGCTAAAAATACATTGGAATAAAACAGACGAGGATCAATATGGCTTTCACTGAAACAGCCCTTTGGGATCTGAGCCGGCTATCTGTGGTAGTATGGACTCTCTCTATATATACACACACACACAGTACAAGTCAAACAGAAGGGAAATTAGAACAATTAAGTTCAAGTAAGACATACCATGATGTTGTCCACCCAAGTATACATTACAGCGAGTGCAGTGTGTGTTAACCATATTCCTCTGCGTGTGCAGGTACAGGTACACATGCACTGCTGTGTGCATGTGTGTGCTTTATGTGTAAGCCCTAGTTGGGAATGTCACTCAGGGGGACAAGTCAGCCATGTCGGGCCGTGATGGAATGTGTGATGGACAAGGATCAGCAGCCACCTGGCCAATTGTCCTGGAAGGAAATTGTGCCTCTCCTCTTTTTGTCCTTCTGCCTTTGAAAAACACAAATATCCCTTTTGCTCCTCCTCAGTTCCCCAGGCCTGACATTCAGACAGGAGGGTTCAACAGTCCAAGTGCAAGTGATTGCGGTAAAAAAAACATAAAATTATATGGCTAATCATATTCTAAAACCATTTATTGTCTTTAACCAATCCCATGTTTCTTTTTGTTTGTCACAAACTGATCCCTATAACAGATGCATATGAATCCAGAATCTGTAGAAATGGGACAAGATTTTGGAATCTAAAGCCTTTTATTTGTAGTCAAAAGAGTATTGACACATTTTGAATTGAATGTAGGTAAAAAGTGTCAAAAGCAAAAGGGGCGGAACACAATGCGAAAATGCAATGATTGAACCAATTGGCTATTGGCTACTGCTGAAAATAGTCCCCAAAAATATATTTTGAGTAACATTTGTCAAATCTCAGTGCCCTGCTGTTAGTAGGATATTATTTAGCCTGTTATTCCAAGACCACAGGCTGAGAAAGTGGTTTTCATTAGATCTGTCATCAAAAATGATGTTAATCTTCATCATCATCAGCTTTATTCTCTAAGCACTATTGTGGCATTAGATCTGCACAGTCCATGTTTGCATGTTCTCGCAGCGTCCACTTGAGGCTGCTCTGGTTTCCTCCCAAACCTTCATCTCAGATTGAAGAGATATGAATGTCTTTTTTATGACTCTGCTCCTCCCCCTGCTTTCTGCCAAGTGCAAACTGGAATAGGCCTCAGACACCTGTGACTTTGAACATTGTCATTATCATATAAAAAGCCATATCATAAAGAAGAATTGTAGAAGAAAACATATTAGATATATATACATTCTTAAGGTAAACCATGGAGCGGCGGCATCTGTACCTGGGGTGAAATGACACGTTGCAAAACTCCGCTTTCATCTGCAGGACACATAAACAAATGCCTTTGTTCTTTCAAAAGAGAGAGGGGCCGAAAGCCACAACAAACAGGCTGAGTGTGCTGTGCAGGGTGTGTGTGTGTGTGTGTGTGTGTGTGTGTGTGTGTGTGTGTGTGTGTGTGTGTGTGTGTGTGTGTGTGTGTGTGTGTGTGTGTGTGTGTGTGTGTGTGTGTGTGTGTGTGTGTGTGTGTGTGTGAAAAGAAGAGATGGGGAAGAGGAGAGAGAGAGAGGGAGAGAGAGCAGAAAGAGATCAAAGCAGGGGGTATGTTTTTGAATCTCTGTGTGGGAGGTGAAGCCTCACCTACCCAGAATGCCTTGCCTCGCTCCTTCCAGCCCACTCAGGGTTTTAGGAGCATCACTTATCTTTGCAGCGAGCATATGCTATCCCTCCATCAATCATCTCCCTTTTTGTTTCAATAGGAGAACTGCGACTTGGTGTGAACAAGCAGTCGACCTCTGATCGGTGATAAATAACCTGCTTCTCCCACGCACAAGACAACATGTGCATTTCAAGCAGAACACAGAGCAAAGAGTCTCCAACATCTCCAACAGAGCCTCGGTTGCATTTCACAGCAACCGAGGCTCTTCTACTAAACAGGATCAGAGCCCATCCCCCCTCTCCCAATCTCATGAAGGGATCGAAGTGTCTCTTTTGAACTCAGCGTGAGAATCTGCAAACAGATGTCTGTCTGTACACACACACAGTGATCACTGTGCCCTCTCACACACACATGGAAAGCCATAAAGGTGTCTGTGTTGCGTCGTCAGTGTCTTAAGGCAGTGTTTATCTTTGGCAGGCTGAAGAAAACAAAGCCATCGATTTCTAATCCTAATCCCCCTCTACTGCTTCGCTCCTATTGATCATCTATCCATCCTTAATGAGATGGAGGGGTAGAGGTATGGAGGGCTGATGAAGGACAACACTTTGGCTGCTGGTGTGCCACCGTCTTTCACCTCAACCCATCTCTTTTCAATCAGTCTCCCTCGCTCGTGGGGCTTTCACAGACCTGACACTCTTTAAGCTGGAATGGTAAATAAATGCAGCAATGGTGCTTTTGTAGAGGTTTATCAAACCTTGAGGCTTGCAGAGCTCTGGAGGTTTGCTGAAAAAAAATTGAAATTGGATGACAGGGATGAATGCACTAAACACACAGAAGCACATGCATGCATACACAGTGTGGATCGAGTTTCAGTCCAAACACCAGTTATAGTATTTCTAGCAATGTCTCTATGTCAGTGATATTCTCTGATAAAGACATAAGAATAATTCTGTCTTCCACAATTAGCTCTTGCTGCCACTTTCACATGATTATGTCTGCTCTCTCTTTCTGTCTGCTTCAGTGGAGATGGTTCGATGGTCATGTCGAAGGAACTCAGTTTCCCTTAGATTAGTTAATTATCTTCTTCCCTACTAACTTTCATTGATTTATTAATGCCTATTATTGGCTTATTATGCTACTCTTCATTCCTGCTGAGAGCTATTTTTCTGTATTCATCGTATTGTATCTTCTTTGTGCTCTTTAAGATTGAGCAAAAACTACAATTTTCAGCAATGAACTTACTCATATGTTTGGTGCGATTCCAATGTACATCTTTATTAAGGACATCTTGACAGCACACACTTTCTGGCGCAGTCTTTCAACCAATTCCTAAGCAATCACACATTTCTAGGGCAGTGAATAGTGAATGTTTGACCCTCTGTGATCCTCTGTCATTCTGATGCTGTGACCACAGCACGATTTGAAAGGAGGAAAGAAATGTCAACACACCATGTCTTTTTGTAGGCAATATCATTCTATGGACCTGCTCAACCCGAAACTGGACAGACACAATGTCAAACACTGAACTAGATTGTGAGGAAAGGTCTGCAACACCTGCTGCTGATGTTGGAGATCTTTAGATGGTATTTGTTTTGTTTGTGCACAGACTTGTAGGATTAATGTTAATCACAGTGGTATTCCCTTTTGGGATCATGGGTAAACAATGAATCTGATGTGGGAGGTCCACCAGACACACCCCACATTCCTCAGGATTCACCTCTGAGAGCAAGTTTCACGGACATCCTGGACTTACTGTGAGGTACCGTCACACGCAAATGCAAACGAGATGAAACAAGAGAACAATCCAAGCGTAGGAGTGCGATCCTGAAGACGCAGCATTGCTTTGCTTGCAGAACTTTTGGAAAATTGGATGATTTTGGGGATATATGCATGTCACTGCAAAACATGGCACCCTGGGGATGTTTTTCCCTAAGTGTGTGATAATGGCTGCAGCAGAAGTCATTAATAGAAGGCTAATGTGTGTCAGATGCTACCTGTCCAGCAGCAGCAGCAGGGGAGAGAGAGCCAGGACACGAGTGACTGGCCAGCATAATGAGAGGGACATAGCCTGCCAACCTGGGCAGATGCTCCTCTAGTGGGGCTGAGTGTGTGTGTGTGTGTGTGTGTGTGTGTGTGTGTGTGTGTGTGTGTGTGTGTGTGTGTGTGTGTGTGTGTGTGTGTGTGTGTGTGTGTGTGTGTTCTCATTTTCATGGGCCCTTTCTGCCTCCTTTCTCCAAGTATTTCTCATCAACATCATCGAAAAACACATCTACGCACACAAACTGGTCGCACACATACAGACAACCTCATGAGGGTTACCGTGGGAATGCCTGTGGCATTATGTCAGTCATTGAGGTGGGGATTTTAATCCTGAAACAAATCTAGACTTTGTGTTGTGTGTCTCCGGCTGTGTGTGGGTGAGCGTGCCCGTGTATAAAGCCAATCTCACACCCATTAGATTACGGCTGGCCGCCCAGCAAAGGCCCCCCACTGCCACTCCCACATGGAGGAGCGAGCAGGATTAGCCAGCTCTATACCCGCCCTAATCTGGGGA